CGTATAGAGGATATATACACGAAACTTTACAATCTTTGCATACACAATAGTCAGGCTTATTGTTGTGCATGGTTATGTCAATAATGTATACATATTGATCAATGCCTGTACATTTCGCTTGCTATAATATGGCTCATAGCTCAGCATCCTCTCGGGTCTGACGCCCCCCCCCCCTCCCTCACCAACGCTCCCTTTGTAAAAAAAAAAAAAAAAAATTCTAGATACCCTGATGTTGAAGCTGGAGGGTTGCCGGGACAAGGCCTGGAAGATGTGCCAGACTGCTGGAGGACGAGGAGTCAGTTGCTCCAGACCTTCTTCTCGGTGGATGGGGTTCATCGAAGACGATGGTATAGGAACGATTATTTATATCTATAAACACAGTTACCTAGGTTTGACTAGAAAAAAGTAAACTTGCACCCAGCTGACTACATGCAGCAAGGGTCAGCTGGGTGCAAATTGGACTATTTTCTAGTCCAATTAAAGTAGACTTTTTGTGTACGCAGGTAAGTGATGGATGATCGGTCTTCATTACTAACACATTGTCGTAAAGGTTGGTATCTAGAAATTTCTATACAGAACCCCCTACACCTGGGGTTTGTGTAGAAAAAATATCAGACGGTTATTTTTTTTACTCCCCATCACGCTCAGTTAAATTCGGCAGCGACCGCAAGCCCCATTAAAAAAAAATAAGTTAAGACAGGATCAAGGTATCAACTTTTACGACAACGTGCTAGTAATGCCGGACAATTCCGGCAGAACACACATTTTTGGGGGGCCGGGGTGTATTTTTGTTCCCTAATAACCAAAAATTCCGCCAAATTTTAACATGAAAAGCTAGAAGGGTTCCAATGTATTGCTTTTGCTGAGTTTTGTGGGTGGTGTACTCAGTGTAAATATTCAAGAATAAAACTCGTTTGGCCCGACCCACAAAGAGTGCCGGTAACGTCATCATAACAGCGATTATAACAGCGATATCCGACTGGCGCGATTAGAACGACAGAGGACGCAATTAATTCGCGTTTGATTGTGCACAGTGAGGATTTCTACGCAAAGTCATTAGCATGAAAAGTGACCCCACAACGTTTTTTGGAAAAAAGGGACCGTTTGGCTTAAAAATGGGGGAATTGTGTAAAAAATTTAAATAGCCGAGGATCTACTCCCTAGTTTTTTTTGCTTCCATCTGAGGGCAGAATTGATGATGAAATTACGGTTGAAAATGTGTCCTATTTGCCTGAGAAAGTGTAGGGCTGCCATGGCTGCGCACAGGCTTGGTTCTTGGCCGACCGAGTTGTTGTTTGGCCTGGTTGGTTTGTCTCTCCGTATGATAGACCGGGAGCTAGGTTGAATTGAATTAACAATTTGAGCACAAAAGGTTTGATGGTACCAATCGATTGCCCGTCAGCGGGTAGTTCCGAAATGGTCATTCTTAAGTTGCACTAGGTCGGATGGGGGTCAGGGGACCGTGGTCAAGTGTCCAAAATTTCGAGTTCGTTTTTGGACTTGTTGAAATTGAAATTGACCCCCTGATACCAAAAATGCTACTTAAGAACGGAAAAAAGTCGGATAAAGTTACTTAAGAATGATTAAAAGATTGTATTTATATGTTTCATATAATACTGTATACAAAATGTACACGTATATATCCTGGTCAATAGTGGAGCTCCTTAGGCCCATTATTTTTGCCCAAACCGTGACCAAATGTGTGATAAGAGCATGAAACACTGCGTGCAGATCCAAAACGGTCTGAGAATCATTTTAAGAGGTGGACCCACCTTGAAACCTGCCGATTTGGGGCGGAGCTTTATTTTTTTTTAAACTGAGGGGGTAACAGGGATAAAAACTGAGAGGAAGTGTATTATACTTTCACTTTCCTTCTTTTCCATGCCTTGAAATAAATTTGGACATGACATAAAACATTCTAGCATTTTAAAAGTCATATTTTCCGCCCAATTTGTGTGCGTGGCCTAAATTTGTAAAGGGGTGGCGTATACGAGTGGTTTGATCCAATTGTGACAAATATCGTGCATTTTCGTGGCAAAACCATTAAAATTGGCAGGCGGTTTGAACTTAAAATGGGCTTAACATATGTTTACGAGAGGGACCCACTTTGGAATTTGCCTACTGTGGGGGCAGAGCACTCCAGAAAAAAAACTGTATCTGCAGCATTCAATGTTCTTTCAAATAGGCGTAGTATATGAAATATAGCATTCTAGCGTTAATCCACTAGGTACTGTCACCCATTTGGTGGGCATGGCTTAAATTCTAGGCGATTTATGGAAGCACCTTGATTCAAACGAGGCTTAACTCCTCATTTTGGTGGTAAAAACACAAATGCTGCATTCGTTAACTATATTTTTACAAAACACTGTAAGGACCATGAGTAAAGGTATAGTATTTTGCCCCTTTTGTGGTGCTACATTTTAAAGTACATGGTTGGGGAAGAATAGTATGCATGCTGACTCAAAGTAATTTAAACTACTTCAATTAAATATTCCTGATTTAGGGCTTCTAGTATCCTGTAGCAGTATATTTACATTACATCACCTGTCAACAGTCTACGTAAATGCAGTCAGTTTCCCGTTGTGGTTTATTTGATAATTTGTAGTGACTTTGGGCGTGATCCTCGCTATATGGCATCGTTTATGGCTTCTAACAAGCGCCTTCTGATTGAAAAAAAGACATTGACAAATTTGGATACCGCCAACATTATTTTGTTGGATAGCTCTGTAAAAACAGCACGTGGGAAAATTTTCTAAAACCACCTTCAACGTTTTCTCACTTCTATTATACAAGTTCAGGCGTAACACTTTCATACAGCAGGTCCCAAACTTAATTTGGGCAAAGAATGTGTCGTTCATCGATAGCTACTCTTTTTAATAAATGCAAATGTTCCTACACGCCTTTAAGAATGATCTTTGGCTCTTGACAGTTGATTAAGATGTACACATAGGCTACATTAGCTTGAAGCCTTTAATATGAAATATTTGAATGACGAATCACTATTAAAGCACATTGAGCCAGTACAAAAATAACAATAATAATAATAATAAAGGGCATTTATAATGCGCCAAATCCATTTTGATTAGATGCTCAATGCGCAGAGAAATAAACAAATAAACATGAACAACAAAAACAGTCGGGAACAAAAGTACACACAAATGAAATGGATGAATATGAAACGGTATGCATGAAAGTACAATCAAACTGGACGATTGATGAAATGCTATCGAATATTAACCCCCTACTTTAACATGTTGCTTAATAGGGGGCTCGAAATGCCTGTTACCTTTAATATTGTCTTTATATTGTATTGTAAAAATATAGTTAACGAATACAGAATTTGTGTTTTTACCACCAAAATGACGATTTGGGCCTCGTTTGAATCAAGGCTAGGTGCTTCCATAAATCGCCTAGAATTTAAGCCACGCTCAACAAATGGATATACAATTGGTTTAACGTTAAAATGTTTTTATTTCATATGCTACGCCCATTTAAGAGCACTGATTGCAGCACATAATACAGTTTTCTGGATTTTGTGCACCCCTTTTTCGATTGGTATACCATCAAACATTTTGTACTCAAATTGTTAATTAAACTCAACCTAGCTCCCAGTCTAGTACGTCACGTTGTATGGCTTGGTTGGCGGACCTCATCGGCTGTGCCGTACATTCACTGCAATATAATTCTATTACAGATTTGCTATTATTTTTGTCATTTGATAACATTACCAGTGTTGTTTACATGATGCAGATGAACTCATCTTGACAAATGTAAACTCACAAGAGGTCAGTTTGTTAAGGTTGCTATACCATCCGTTGGACAAGATCATTAGTGTTCGTTCTTCAAAAAAAACATTCTTCTCCTGACAAATGTTCGACTTGTATTTTAAATTTTACTTCAAAATTTATATTATATCGTCTTTAGTATATAGCCTTCCGAAAAAAATAGTTTGGATGCTTTCGTGCACAAATTCCTTCCTCCATGCACAATAGCAGACCCGCCGGGCCCCGCGAGTAGTAGACTGGTCGCCGTTCCCTACATTATCGCTGTACTTAATAGGGCGCGAACCAGTCTTCCGCGAATTATTCAGTTGTACTTGTAGGGTTGCAAAAAATCGAAATTTGTAAGGTTAAGTTTCCCACTAAATATAGATTAATTTTTCTGTTCGATGTCTCATTCAAAAGTAAAAAAACTTTTGTATTGCCGGAAAAATTATCAATTTAGAAAAAAAATATCTATCTTCGGAGTGAAACTCCAATCTAGCGGTGGTATAGCAGATTAGGCATCAGCCTTACAACACTCAGGCGGTAACCATGATGCGTTTCTGTAAATGTGACAACCAAAATAATGCAACTTGTTTTTAATCTCAAAATTTCACCTGAAATTACATGAATTTGTACTCGACTTCTGGAAATGACCAATTTCATGACTTGTGTAGTAATCAAGTGTGTGCAGTGTGCGCCAAACTGTCAAATGTTTTAATTTCAAACCCTCCCCTTGCACGTACGGACGCGTATAAAGTTTCCAAATGAACAAAAGTTTCCCGAATTGTCATTATGACAAGAAAACATTTTAATAGCCTTGAAGTATGTCGGAGCGTTAATTTTAAGTCTTTTGGCGGTTGCAGGCCTTAACTATGTACTGTCCGTACTATTTTGGAACACTCCCAACTAAATAGAGTCCTTTTTTATATTTGCAACTTTGTTTTTCTTATTTGGCAGCATTAACCTTTCACCCCCCCTCCCCCCCCCCCCCCCCCAAAAAAAGGGTCGCAGATAATTATATATGGACCAAGTTAGTGTTTGGCTTTTCTGAATGATGCACAAAGTTCTTCTTGGTCATGTTCCACAAAAAAAAGATTGATGGCCTTCGTAAATAAAAATTTTGCCGGCCGGCCGCGCCAGGTAGGATAGGGCGCCCTCGAGTGCTGCTATTAGCTGGTACTTGGGAAAAGTGCTACCAAACAAATTAACATCTGGGAACCAACTAATTTCGTCGAATGCGTACAGTGCATACCCGGTCTAGTTTCCTGTGCGGTACATGTAGGCCATCGCAACACGCTCAGTTTTCGCGATTTCATCCATTTTGAGTATGTCATGTATGTGAACGGCCTGGTGGACGAAATACATGACTGCTGTGATGTTAAGATTATTTTGATATTGTCGTGTATTTTGGTTTAATCTGCGTCATATCTTACGGGGAATATTTCCTGCACTTTTCTACTGTGACAGGACAAGGTTTAATCTGCCAAGATTTTTCTGGGAGTACATTCCAAGATGCCGTTGCATCAACTAGCCGACCCGTGGCAGAAGGTCGCCGTCAAAGAGCAGGCAGAGGTAGGCCTAGCCCGACTGCGTCTGGCCGTACAGTACTATCGCAAGCTCTGTAGTACGGCCAGACGCTGAATGCTTCCAAAAAGACTGAATTTTTTTGGCCGCTGATGTAGCGATTTTGCTACATCTTTTGATCGAGATTATCTTTTCATCCAGGACAAACATTTCCAAAGTTAAGGTTCTTAGTCGTAGAGCAACTCATACCTTTTCGAAAAAAACGTTCTCTGGTCTCAATATTTTCATCCATCTGGCCAAAAGACGACTTTCAGTCATCATCTTCCACAAATATCGTCCCGAAAATGCTCCCCCCTGCGATTTCAAAATGGCGGCCGCGCTGTAACTCATGAATATGCATGAAAAGTCTGTGACGTATGACCTCGTGTTTTTGGACGTGCGTGCGGCGGCGCCGTACGTATATGTACATGTACATTACTTGTAGACAACAGCCCAGTACGTGCATGCACACCGCCGCGCGGACGTACGTGTGCATGCACGTACTGGGCTGTTGTCTACAAGTAATGTACATATACGTACATGAACGTACGGCGCCGCCGCACGCACGTCCAAAAACACGAGGTCATACGTCACAGACTTTTCATGCATATTCATGAGTTACAGCGCGGCCGCCATTTTGAAATCGCATGGGGGAGCATTTTCGGGACGATATTTGTGGAAGATGATGACTGAAAGTCGTCTTGGCCAGATGGATGAAAATATTGAGACCAGAGAACATTTTTTTCGAAAAGGTATGAGTTGCTCTACGACTAAGAACCTTAACTTTGGAAATGTTTGTCCTGGATGAAAAGATAATCTCGATCAAAAGATGTAGCAAAATCGCTACATCAGCGGCCAAAAAAATTCAGTCTTTTTGGAAGCATTCAGCGTCTGGCCGTACTACAGAGCTTGCGATAGTACTGTACGGCCAGACGCAGTCGGGCTAAGGTAGGCCTACATGTCAGTTGCGAGTGCGACCATAAATGAATGTGGCTCAAATACTGGCATGACTGGACTTCCCACTGTGAGCCACACAGTGGTGAAAGCTATGTGTGGGGAAAAGTTGATTTTGAGAAAATCAAAATCGAGACTGTTTTTTTTTTCCACTTGATATTCACAAGGCGGATATTTAAAAATGTTGGAAAAAAAATTAGCTTGAGTAGCCTATATTTTTCTATAACTCTAGCCCCATAAATGTGGCCAATTTACTGGACTACCTCCGTAAATAAAGGCCACACTTCCACCATGTACAAAAACATGTCGAACTTTGTCAAATTTTGATTTTCACATTTACTATTAGTACTATTAGGCTTTTTTTGTAGTTTATTTTTGCTTTAGAAACATACTCGCCCTCTTTATAGGCTGATCAAAAAGTGCTGCCTTTTTCAGATGTCTAATTTTCAGGAAATTTCATGTTGAAATTTTGATACCCAAACGTGTGCAAACGTATCTGGAAATTTCACAAAAAATAGACATCTGAAAAAGGCAGCACTTTCTGATTAGCCTATAAAGAGGGTGGGTATGCTTCTAAAGCAAAAATAAACTACAAACTAAGCCTAAATGTGAAAATCAAAATTTGACAAGGTTCGACATGTTTTTGTACATGGTGGAAGTGTGGCCTTTATTTACAGAGGTAGTCCAGTAAATTGGCCACATTTATGAGGCTAGAGTAACTCTACTCTCTAGACCCGTGAACGTGGCTATATACATAGCCACGCTTCAATCTATAGTAAAAACACTCTATTGTGATCCGCAGTTACTAAGATGGAGTGACCGTTCTAGCCAAATTTCGGCTACATTTGACAGAATATTCGCATACAAAAATGAGTTGTACAGAAAATCCAGCAGATTATTTTTTTTCGGCAGAATTGTGAAGATGAAAGAAAATGAAAAAGATTTGAGAAATATGGCACATTTGGTTTGAAAAACTTTCATTTTTTTGAAAGATCCCCGAAACAAACCCTTGCACAATGGAACAACAATACATACTGGGTGATTTGGCAGACTTTCGAAGTGGATTCAGCAGAATTTTACATGGTATTATGCACTTGTCAATTGTAAGACGCACCCTCGGACCCCCGGGGCATGTGCGTCATGTCTCTAAAATGGTCAGTCAAATCGCGACGAAGGGGGTGCGTCAAGTACGACTTTGGTGCGACGCAAACACATCGTGAGATGCGTAGGGGTGCGTCATGTTTCGTCACCATGCAATTGCAACGCACTCAGCTGGCAACATTTTATAGGCCCATTTTTAAATAAAGCTATTAGCCCAGATAATGATGTTTTGTTGAATAAAACAAACAGCTGAGTGCAGACGTGTACTTGTGTTGCTTTCTTATAGGCCTAGTAATTAAATCTTAAATCCAGTATTAAGCCGATCGCCCGGGAAAAGACTTACCGTTCCGATGAATATACACATTATACATCGGTACGGTATACAGCTTGATATGCCGTTGATCACATCGTTCAGTGTGTACATGGCATGCACCCGCCTTTTGAGTAGGATCTAGAGCTGCAGGCCAATGCATGCATGCGGCATTATATGCACACTACTGACAACCTGGGATTGAGCACGTGGCCCTTAGGCCTACGTGCGGACAAATCCTTGGCAAGCTGGAACCATTCGCATTTGTCTTTTATTTTTTGCTGGCTATTTTCAACTCTTTTCACCCCAAATCTTCGATAACCTTCAGCTTGTTCACATTGCTGCTGATAAATACATGTATATATGGCCTCATTTTCCAACTCGCTATATTTTAACAAAGAACACCGGATGCATTTATGAATATAGCTTCGTCCAGTTTCCGGACACAGCAGAGTGCTTGCTGGCTCGCGGGGATTTCAGTAGCGTTTTGAGGGTTTGTCAATGCAGTGCCAGTTAGGCTCATGTTACGTTGATTGATACATGAGAAATGTTGTTCATGTTGTTGCTGTCCTGAGGAAATTTTTTTGGACATAAATAGCAGCCATTAATCGCAGTGGGTTAGGATTTTGCGACCATGATTTTCGAAGCCTCCGGATTCATGCACTCACTGGACATGACATTAATGCGGCCTGCTTGAAAGAAACCTTTACTGTTGTTGATTTCAAGAATGGAACTGATGTCAGATTTTTTGAATAAATTGGTCCGAATACATGTATATACATATACAATGTAGCTAGGTTCCCTTTTTGAATTTCGGAAATTTGGCAAGATTTATTACGTCCGATGTTTGGAATGTATTTCCGACTCGGTCAAAAATTTGCAAGCACATCTTTGATTTTCCATGACGAGGAAGAAACAACCTGAAAGAAACACAAATGGCATGTATGCACTATTTGTGCATAACATGAAAATACCCACCTCTCGGCTCGCAATCGTCAAGACCCTCCTGGAATCCTAGCCGACTTGCCAAGGCTGATCGTATTTTTTTCTTTTCTTTTTTTATCTCCATTTATCTATTCATTTCATTAGTGTGAGCCAAAAATATTAACATTTTCTATTTTAATTGTTGCCAATTAAATAAGTTTTCAAAATTAAACAATATTCTAAACTTTGTCCCGAAAAGTCACGAGCTGAATAACATTGTTTTGTTTCCCCCGAAGCGAAAATTTTCATTGGCCAACGTCATGTATGTTCCTAACCCTATGGCCAACCCATAGACCATGATCATAAAGGCCCGGCTAACATCCCATTTTTTCGCTGTACAAAATATTGCAAACAAAATATTTGTTTAGCTCCAGGATTTCTAGTTACTATATTTATATTAGAATATTAGTCAGAAGAGGGAACAAATCATTCAAAAATGCTTCCAACGATCATCCAGTTTCAGCATCGCAACTCAATTCGCAATTTCGCCCTGGCAGCGCTTGCGGAGTTGTGGTGCACATGTAGCCATCGCCACGATTGGTTCGCTGGTTTCCTCTTCTCAACTCAGCTGGAAGTGCATGCGCTCGGACGCATCTCCCAGGCCCCACTGGTGCCCATGGGTCGCAATGGAAATTAAACATCGTTATTACAATACGGTAGCCACACAAGTCATGTCCACAAAGTGTGCGTGTTCCATGCTGTGCTATCGAGATTCATTCGTCGATTATTATGTCCGTCATACGTGCGTCATTGGTGAGTTGTTATCCAGAAATGGTGCATCAAAAATTTGTTATAAATAGTGTCAAAATGCGTGAATGGTTCGTCATGAACAAGACGCAAGGGTGCATCATTGGACCCCAAAGTTTGACTGTCCTGTGGACATTGACGCACATGCCCCGGGGGTCCGAGAGTACGTCTTACAATTGACAAGTGCATTACGGTCATCCTGCCATGTAAGACGGTTAGTCAGGTACCCACTGGTAGGACTCGTACCGTTTTGCGCATGCGGAACTCGGGGTACCAGAGTGTCATGCCTGTCTTCGATTTTCTGATCATTTTGAAAACGTTCGTTGTGACAAAGTTGTGCCGTACTTTACATCAAATTTCTTGGCAATGACAGATCCAACATTCGCGTAAATTCACAGGAAACCTAACAAGTAAGTAATTTACCTATGGGTAAAATTATACATGGTAATATGTAGCGGATCAAAAGACAGAATGATTTCGCTTGTACATGTATTTACCCGAGGGAAGTGCGTGGCGTTCCAGTAAAGTACGCACACGTGGTGTCACGTCCAAGGGGCTCTCAAAAGTGGTAAAAACACGCCCTCTAAGTTGGCACATGGAGCCTATAGTGCTAACAAAAGATACTACTGTGCTAACCAGAGCTCGAAATACCCACTGGACCGTGGACCATGTCTAGTGATTTCAGTGTCGGTCTAGTGTTGTGTATGACTACACTAGTCTGGTTGTCTAGTGTTTTTTTTTTCTTGCACAAAATGACGCCCAAATATACTAGCAGTTGAGGTCTGATTCATAGCATGCTTTGAGTTCATTACTTAATTGATTAAAATAACCGACCAAAAAACTCCCTGTGCCATGCTGAAACGTAACGAAGCTGCCTGGCCAATGCGCCAGTCATGCCAGTTGCAGACATACGTACGTACATACAGTACATTACGTTGATGCTCCGTTGGTACGATGTCGCGATGTCACGCAACCACAACTTTGATTGGTAGCAATACGTTATATTTGTATTACTGCTGTATCTCGCTATTAAACGTCCAGGTTCACTGCGGGCAGATAAGCAGAATCCCTGTACTGCATGGGCATTAGTTGTACAGTCTAGTTCCCAGACTTTTACGAAGGAAAAGACTGTGCCCACTGGCAAGAAAATTAGACTTATTTTTCAGGGGAACTAGCCAAATGGACACATGAAACGGGTGACTCGTAAATAGCAATTTTGTTGTATTCCTGTCACATAGTGCAAAAAGTTGGGTTTTTTTCTTATTTATGACACAGGTCTTGTAAAAAAAGTTCAGGTCCAGTAAGATTCTTCAGTTACTAGACCTGCTGTCTAGTGCTTTTTTTCATGAAATTCGAGCCCTGGTGCTAACCCTTTCAGCACAGAATCTATGTTTATGGTATTTATGCATACTTTGCATATTATCCAAAAGGCTGACGTTAAGCAGAACCGTAAAATTGAGCCCAGGCTTTGTGCATAGGAACATGTACTGTATGAAGATAGATTTTTCAAAATTCTGCCAATTTTTTTGAACCTGAGTATTAGTTTTTTTCAAGAAAATTGTTTGTAACAGATGTGTGCATCTGCTAGAGTACTGCGTATAGGAAATTAATTTGAGTACAACACTATAAAATATTGAAAGTACCGGTATATAAAGTAATATGCACACCTGTTCCATATTCTCCTACAGGGAAAGAGCAGTGAGGAGATGCTAGTTGACAGCACAAATGAAACGGTGAGTACAACTCATTTTCTAATGGATACTTGGTTGTTGTCATGGAAAGGGTACATGTGTCTCAAAGGAAATCAGAAACTCTCGGTATATTTTTTAGATGGTAATGTATATTTTACACAGAGAACCAGATGGTAAATTAAGGAAAAAACCTACGTGTACCCTATGGTCAGTTGAAATTGTACTGTTTATCAAGAGGTTAATGTAATGCCATCTTTTTCCCAACAAATTGGGTGTCGGAACAGTGAAGCATGTATTTGTATACAGTTCTTGTTTGAACATGAACATGAAGGAGGATGATAAACAAACTTTTTCCCTTTTTAAATCTGATGCCCAACCGGCATTGTTCTCATCCTAGTAATATTAAAAAATAAAAAGTCAGTTGTGTGAGGCACGGATCAGCACGTAACAATTTTGGTTTTTTTCCATAGAAATTCATAAAAAAATTCTATCAACTTCTCCCCCCCCCCTCCTGTTTTGACGCCCAAAAATTATTACGTGTTATGCCTGTGCCCAACATACATGACATGTATGGACAGAGCGCAACATACATGACATACATGTATGGACAGAGCGGGGGTATTTGTAAATTGTACAAATGTATGGCTCGACACCCCCCCCCCCCCCCAAAAAAAACTGTCTACATTTTGCATTGATTTGCTTATGAAACCACCACCCCCCCCCCTGCAAAAATTCCTGGATCCGCCCCTGGGTGTGCATGCATTACAAGTGCTGTGTGATGCATTATCAAGGGGTTGTTGTCTTGTCATGTAATACTTACCTGTCCAACATGACATCAGGCAAGTTTGCCTCTCTTCCAGTTGGGAACACATACATGTAAAGGGAAAACTGTGATTGTTGTCAGAAAATGAAAAGTAAAAAGCTTTCATTTCAACTACACTGTACGTACATGTATCATGTATAGGTGGTATCACAGAAAGACAAAGAAATTAATTGGGTAGAGGTTTAGCAGTTACAGCAAAATACATTTATGCAGTACATACATGAGTCAGTATACATGGTAGTCTGCAAGTCAGTCCATTTCTTATGGATTCTGTGCATATGTTCCTCCTCAATACTGACCAAGTAGTCTCTTTGTCAGTTTGCTGTTTGCTGCTGCTCATCATGTGCACACTCCCAGCCAGTCATGCGCCCTCCCCAAATGATCTGAAGTGAAGTTGCCATTGACAGCATTGTAATGTTTTTAACACCCTGACTTGAGGCATGACCTACCAGTAGGCATGTTTCTGGAAGGGAAAAGGGAAGGGGGAACAGTACCCCCCCCCCCCCCCCCACCTACACACCTCTGTTTTATTTGACCCCACCCCAATCTTATCAAGACTGATACACCTGTGTGATCAAATGCCAAATTCATGCACCATTGAATACATACAGTATGTGATGTGAATTATGCTGAACATGTTTTTGTACATTGCAAGTTGTTCAAAGAGGTCAATTTTAGTTTAGCCTGTTTAGCAGCCTTTGTTTACATGTATCATAAATTAAATACATACATTGTAATTGAAAAACAAAAAGAAGCTAAAAAGTAAAATGAATGACATTCATGAGAGGTGTGCTACATGTATTACCATTTAAGCCAGTCCAGTAATCCAACTACGCATATGTACATGTACACATCAAGATTAATTTCTTCAGCTCATGGACAAACAAGTTGCCTAATGCTTGCAAAATCATAGCTGGGTATTAGACAGGAAAATTCAAGAAATTGTCTTGTTCTGAAGTAAGCACAAAATTCAAAAAAATTTGGGCCAGCAAAGAGTTTTTAGGCATATTGTAATACATTTGATGGCCCAACTTTTGTGCGAACGGAAGCTTCCATTGCTTTTTTGTGTGTGGACAAATTGTAGAATGCAGACCTGGTTACCAAGCCCCCCCCCCCCTAGACTTGTATGCATTTATCTGCCACATATATCCCAAAGTAAAATTGTTGAAACTTTTTGTTTTGCACATGTTGCGCAGTTGGAATACAGGGAGGTAGTGAATCTGGATTAGGGTACTTAATAAGTCCATATCTGATATGACTCCTGGATCCAAAATTTAGGAACTTTCAATTTGTGTTCATTATTTTGTGCATGGTTAACATGATGTAACAAACTATATGCTGTGTACAGCCACAGATACATGTATTATTCACAACTTCACAAGGTCTGTGTGAGTACACGTCCTTGATTGACCTCACCAGGTAACTTTCTATTGTCTGGCTTTGTTGTCATTTCCATACCCATGGTGTACATCGATGGAAAGTGTCCTTGTCATCATCAGCAGACTAGGGAAAGTTTATTGATTATTGAACATCGTAGTTAACTGTACACGGTATGCATACCTACACATGCGTGTGCATGAGCCTTTTTTTTTTTTAGAAATAACTTGCATTACAGCTTTGTCACATCCCACTTATTGCGGGAAGAAAAAAAGTCACAGAGGAAACCAAGCAACCCAAAGATGATTGTGTCCTTTTTCCATGAGAAAATATAATTAATATTCATGTACATGTATGTAAGTTGGTACCAATAAGTTTCAAATGTATTTACCTATACAGTACATGGAGCTAGCCTGGTAGTCTGCTATACTCATAGAGCTATATTAAATTACTAGAGCGCCAGCTCATCTACAAAGTGATGCCTGCTGGGCGCATCCATGTTTGTACACAAACCTATGGAGAACTAGAAATTTTTGTACGTATTTTGTACGTCTATTTGCATATCTTCCATACCGGCGGTGCGTCATCGAAGCCAATATGCCAAAAACCGAAATGCATGATCAGCAAATGAGCGCAACGCGTGTGCGTATCCGCTGCAGCCTTGATTAACAGTGTTTTTTTTTAAACTGTAACACGCGTAAGAAGTTTGCGTGCCGGTACGTTCTACTTGCACATTGCATTTAGAGTACACTTTCAAAATTTAATCCATCTAATTTCATTATGTTCTACAAACACACACATGAATTCAAAATGTCTGCGCCCAGGACGGCTTCAAAGCATCTCCATGCACAATAATGAGGAGTTAGCGCTCTAGTAATTTAATAATTATACCCCGGTAGCTCTATGGCTATACTACAGATATATTTCACATGATACATGTACATACATGTAGTTCATATTGTGCCTGTATACACTACACTTTCAATAATCTCTTTGACAATGGACATTGTAAACTTGACAAACATGATCAAGTGCATGTAGTGAGGCAAGTGTTACATATCCCGCGCCGCACCAATGTCAAAATAAACCCAGAGCGAACTGGTTAACATGTCCACAAGCAAAAGAGATGAATGTTGACAACATTGTACGTACATGTACAATGTACATGTACAGTACCGGGATTTTGTACATGAACATATTGTTAAACATACATGTACATGTATGCACACAATGGTGCATTTATAGTATATGCTAACTGTGGTGCATTTTAGTTCACAAAAACAGTGTGTGTGGTTTTAAACAGTAATTTAAACTAGTTGTGTCCTTGCTTTGTAGCTACTGGTAGCTCATGGTTTGAATACATACATGTGTAGCACTCGTTAAAAAATGTTCAATATGAAATGTGCCTTTTTTGGGGGTAAACTTTAAATAAAAGTGTTGAGGAATTGAAAAGGGTTTATGACCTATGCATATCAACACGTGTACATGTACAAGGGTGTATTACAGTTACATGTAGGCGTGCAATTGTTAATGAAAATGCTGTTGTATTTTCTGTCTTCATGTAGGAAGACCAAGAGATGAGAGAGATCAACATCACCAGCATGGCTGCAGAAGGCCTGCAGAAGTCAGACCCATCTCAGTTTGAACTCCTCAAGGTCTTAGGTCAGGGCTCATTTGGAAAGGTTGGTATTTACCTCATTGTCCTACTTTGGAACTGAAACAAAAACTATTGTCCTAAACCAAATGTCCTTTTTTAACCCTAACGTACCTGAATCCATCAAAATCCACATCCCTGTTTTGGAGGATTTCGACGGAATCAGGATACCTCCATATTGAAAAAGTTGGGGGATTTTGATGGATTCAGGACAGTAAGCCTAGTGGTTCTGCAGGATTTTGATGGATTCTGGACACCTCCATATTGAGCAGTTGGAGGACTTTGGCGGATTGAGGATCTCAACAGATTTACTCCCTTACTGGCGGATTCTGATGGACTCACTACCAACCAACATTTTATTGCATGGCAAAATTGATGGATTTTGGCGGATTCAGAATATTTTCTAGTAAAAATACCCAAGGGGTAAGGGTTAAGGATCAGGTAAATGTACATGTAGATGAAGCGGTACCAGTCCTTCATTTAAAGAAAATCCAGGAGAGCTATAAATCGCTCTCCTCAAATATTTGAGGAGAGCAAAACGCTCTCCTTAAAATTCACGGATAAACAGTGGTAAAACGACGGGTTACCATTGTTTTTTGTTTTATTTTTAATATAAGGATTTATTCAAGGGGCTGCATTATTATTAGTTTTTGCATAATAACATATGCTCAAGTTGCGTTACTTTTTCCGTTTTTGTAACTGTAAGACAAGGAAAAATTTATTTTAAAAAACTAACTAAATGGAGATTAATAAAAGGTTTGACTACTGCTTAGGCTTTCATTTTTTACCCCTCAGCCGAGAGGCTCGAGGGGTATTGTCATCGCCTAGGGCGTCCGTCCGTCCGGATGTATGTGTGTCTGTCCGTCCGTCCGTCCGTCCGGGCAGCTTAGTTTCCGGATGATAACTTGAGTTAGAAATGTTGTTTGGGGTTGTAACTTCGGTAGGGGGTTGCCCTTGGGAGTAGGCAAGTTGGGATTGGTTTTGAGGTCAAAAGGTCAAAGGTCAAGGTCACCGTGGTGAGTTAAATGTAAATGGTTTCCGGATGATAACTTCAGTTAGAAATGAGATTTTGGTGTCTAACTTTGGTAGAGGGTTGCCCTTGGGAGTAGGCAAGTTGGGATTGGTTTTGGGGTCAAAAGGTCAAAGGTCAAGGTCAGCATGGTGAGATAAAGGTAAATGGTTTCCGGATGATAACTTGAGTTAGAAATAAGATTTTGGTGTCTAACTTTGATAGGGGGTTGCCCTTGGGAGTAGGCAAGTTGGGATTGGTTTTGGGGTCAAAAGGTCAAAGGTCAAGGTCACCGTGGTGAGTTAAATGTAAATGGTTTCAGGATGATAACTTGAGTTAGAAATGAGATTTTGGTGTCTAACTTTGGTAGAGGGTTGCCCTTGGGAGTAGGCAAGTTGGGATTGGTTTTGGGGTCAAAAGGTCAAAGGTCAAGGTCACCATTGTGAGTTAAAGGTAAATGGTTTCCGGATGATAACTTGAGTTAGAAATGCGATTTTGGTGTCTAACTTTGGAAGAGGGTTCCCCTTGGGAGAAGGCAAGTTGGGATTGGTTTTGGGGTCAAAAGGTCAAAGGTCAAGGTCACCGTGGTGAGTTAAATGTAAATGGTTTCCGGATGATAACTTGAGTTAGAAATGAGATTTTGGTGTCTAACTTTGATAGGGGGTTGCCCTTGGGAGTAGGCAAGTTGGGATTGGTTTTGGGGTCAAAAGGTCAAAGGTCAAGGTCACCGTGGTGAGTTAAATGTAAATGGTTTCCGGATGATAACTTGAGTTAGAAATGAGATTTTGGTGTCTAACTTTGGTAGAGGGTTGCCCTTGGGAGTAGGCAAGTTGGGATTGGTTTTGGGGTCAAAAGGTCAAAGGTCAAGGTCACCATTGTGAGTTAAAGGTAAATGGTTTCCGGATGATAACTTGAGTTAGAAATGCGATTTTGGTGTCTAACTTTGGAAGAGGGTTCCCCTTGGGAGAAGGCAAGTTGGGATTGGTTTTGGGGTCAAAAGGTCAAAGGTCAAGGTCAGCATGGTGAGTTAAAGGTAAATGGTTTCCGGATGATAACTTGAGTTAGAAATGAGATTTTGGTGTCTGACTGAGGTAGGGGTTTGCCCTTGGGTACAGGCAAGTTGGGATTGGTTTTGGGGTCAAAAGGTCAAAGGTCAAGGTCACCGTGGTGAGTTCAATGTAAATGGTTCCGAATGATACCTTGAGTTAGAAATGAAATGTTGGTGTCTAACTTCGGTAGGGGGTTTCCCATTGGTACAGGCATGTTGGGACTGGTTCTGGGGTCAAAGGCCAAAGGTCAAGGTCACCACGTTGAGTTAAAGGTTAATGGTTTCCGGATGATAACTTGACTCTGGCTGAGGGGTTTCAACAGCAACGCTGTTATTTTTAATACAGTTGTCCAGTGTTCTCCAACTTTGAAAATCAAAGGTTGGCGCTGGGGTCGGCGGGGACTCCTGCGAGCGCGGAGCGCGAAGCCCTTACGGCGTGGGGTCCGGGCCCGCTTAAGGGCCCCGGGAAAATTTTGGATTCTAGATGCTCTGTGGTGCAATCTGAGGCGATTCTCCAGGCCAGTTCCCCCGATTTTTTTAGCATTCAAAAATTTCCTTTTCAACCTAAAACAGACTTCTCCAAGATCAAATGACACCTTTTTGTAATGTTGAAAAACAAAATGGGATACAAATTACGGTTTTTTTTAACGCGATTTTATGGGTGGTGCCGGTGCCATGCATGCGATCGTCATCTTTATTTTCATGTTGTGTTTTGTCGTTGTCATCGTCATTTTCCCCCCAAATTTCCCTCTATTTATGACCTACCTGTATTAACCTGTATGTTCTTAAATGTCGCCAACTAGTTTGGTAAGTCAAATAAATTAAAAGTGGATTTTGTTCTCTTAGGGAACCGGGCCCATACACGATCGCCATTTATAACTTTTGACAATCGGCATGATCGGAACACAATCATGTGCACGCGTGTTTTGGCCTCGAGCTCGTTTGCCTCGTACACATCAATGCGTATTATATTGTGTACCGCGCGTGCAAGCACTGAGAAAAAGAAAGTCGGTTGGCTGCACGTAAGATCTGCCGTACGTACTCCTGCTGGTGTGTGTGTGTACTAATACAGATATATATTTTTGCGGCGGGGTTGTCGCGACTTGAAGTATCGGCACACTCCGGAACTGGGGATTCAGTTGTCAGTGTGTGTGTACATCGCGCGTACTAGTACGTACGGGTGCATGGGGAATCGCTGGTGTTTGCACGGCCGGCCGTGCGTGTGATTGATTCAGCGAGATTTTAAGACAACCCCGATCGGGCTGGGATGACATCGAAAAAACATTGTTAATGTGTGGAAAAACAACTGAAATCAATTATTTTAGTTGTAAATGTACACTGTAGAGTCAAAAAAATTAAACCTGGCGGCAGGATTTTAAAGCTTGGCGGGGACTTCTTAAACATGGCGGACGCCGCAGAAAGCATGGCGGGGCGCCAGGTTTGTTCTACATGTTGGAGAACACTGGTTGTCAGTTGGTTCATCACTTGATTATACTTGGAAAATGGAGAGTTAATAAACGGCACATAAAGCAACTGAATATTTGCTTTCAGATTCGTTAAAATTATATGATATTTTCAGCCTGAACTATTTCAATTGCTCTACGAAAGCTATACAAAAAGGGCCTCAAAATGACACAAACTTGCCTTAAGTTTTATCGAAAATATCTGCCATCGATAATCTTAAAAAGAATGGAAAATGCAGGTCAAGTATGCCATATACACAATGCTAGTCATGACGAGAAACTGGCTAACAACGTCTGAACTTCGCACTAGTACGAGCGTTTGTGATGCACTGTGTGAGGTGGGCCGGCAGTGAGACTCGTTTTACGGTATAGGATTTCGGTGAAACACGCTGCATCGTTTCACTTCACATACCAGTAGAACTTCCTCAAAATAAATTCATGAACACGGGAAATACATAAACAGACAAGAGAGATCAAGTTCTGTGAATAAGCTTGCAAAGATCGTCCTTCTCAATCGTTGTTTTCTTGGCATTTTTACGATATCTATTCCGTCTGGCCTGCACGCAAAACACTGTACGGCAGTGCATTGCACCGCGCGCGACTATTACATTGACTGGTTACCGCATTTTCATCATGCCTTCATTGGGACTTAGTGCGCAGCGAAGCGGGAACCAGTCATTGCTGCACTCGCACGTACGGGCCCACGTGTTTTCATGCAGCTCTATGCGATAAATGCAGATTGTGCACGCACAGTATACAACCGCTGTACACACACGATCTTATACAGTACGTACAAGCTCGGTGTTCGTTCATTTTTAGCGATGTCCAGCGGCATATTAACGTGAGTTTGGGCATTATACCAACGAAAAATACGTGTAGCTTAAGACTTAAAATCCTTTGCATTTTTATCACTTCTTATTTTTAAACTTCCCGTGTTTGACGAGACCTCTTTTGGATTTCTGAGGAGCGCTATTTTTTGCGCTCCTTCGAGACAGTCGAGGAGCGCAGTAGGAGCGCCTACGCGATCGCGCTCCTTAAAAATGAAGGACTGCGGTACTTTTTATGTCTGGAGGTTTGAATCCCGTTCTGGACCATTGTGTGGATTTAGTTTTCACTCCCTTCCTGATTGGGTTTCCTATGTCATTAGGGGAGTTTCTTCCTATCGGTACCTCAAACTGTTACAGCCTTCATCTTCAACCAAGGACTATACTGGAAAAAGTCAACAGACTTTTCTAGGCTACCCCTGCTGAATTCCAAATTTTATATAAAATTTGGCATTTCCCTGCTAAAATGGGACTTCCCGCCAATCAAACCATGATCTAACAATTGTTAGAAGAGATTGGCAGAATGCTCGCGGACTGTGTCAGCGAAACTACTCCACTATGCCTCGATCAGCCAGCACGCTGCAAGTCACCGACGCCTGCTGATATGCCAAAGCAATTCAGACCCCGTGCTTGCACAGAAAGTGCTACTGCGTCTTTTTATTCCCCACAGACACACCTCTCTCA